AGAAGAAATTTTCAGAGAGCTCATCCAAAAAAACTTGAGAAAAAGCATGATCAGCTGGGCCATAAACACCAATAATTTCCCATAGACAGTTGAGATCATAGTGGCAAAGAACCATACAAGAGAGCCGGAATCACAGGCAACAAAATCAAAGACATCTAGCTTAGCACCTATGAGGACCCCACCAGAATGGCCAGAGGTCGGAAGCCACTTCTAAATAAAACGACCAGAGCCACCAATAGATGAAAGATCAGAAGCAGAGAAACACGATTTAATGGTCTCTTGCATGCAAATAATATCAATGTTAGAATCACGCACGCCGAAACCACACATATTCCAGAAGAGGATCTTCATTTGAAAGATAAAATTTTAATACGAAGGCTCGACATCGACGGGGCCAGCAAGGAACCATTTTTCTTCCTACGAGTTTTACCAGTAGCTACTGGATGGCCGCAATCATCCAGGGAAGTAGAAACCCAGAGCCACCCCAGCTTCCAGAACAGGAATGGAAGAAGGCGAGGGTGGCACGACATTCCCAATAGCATCTGTCAAAGGTGAGGGAGCAGCCAAAATACACGCTTTCGCCAAAGAAGCTTGCGCCAGCTTGTTAGCACGAATAATAGACAACACCGTAGACGGATCAACAAAAGAAGAGCCCAACAAAACACCCGAGTCTAACGCAACCTCAAGGAAATGGGAATCAGGATAATCAGGAAGCATTAAGAATTTTGGGGAATAGATCGGGGTAGTACTTACCATGCCTAATTTCTTCTCAGCAGCACGCCGCTCCGCACGCACCAGCATAGATTCCCCCAAATCACGAGCACATGAGCTCTTTTGGGCGGTGGAAACCGGAGTCTTGACCGTTGCCGAACAAGAGGAGGGAGTAACAAGCAGCTCAGCAACATCCACTTTATCAGCTAATCCCATGTCATTGTCAAGGCTGCGAAATAGTCCAACATCAGATTGCTTTGACGCGCTCGACATCCTAGAGCGCGGGGAGAATTTCTTTACAGTTTTTTACGGCCTAGACGCCAGCACAACCACCTCAGGGCTAGAGTTCTCATGATCAGGCAAATCTTCAATCCCATTTGAGACGACGAAGGAATACTGGTCGGAAGGTTTGAGCACACAGCAGAAGCCAGAGGACTGCTCCATCCCTAGGAACAGAAGGTGTAGGCAGTGCACAAGCAGCCACAACAGCAGGCGCATCTTTGGCCGCAACATCTCTCGATGCGCGATTTGGGTACATCAATTGCAACTTAGGCCCAAGAGCATCCCACTCTTGCTTGGAAAACGCCGGACCCAATTCATCTCCATCCATCAAACCTTCTGATCTTCACGGGGTGGCGGAGAAGCAGCACGGGGAACCTGAGAAGCAGCCTGGCCCTCCACCCCGACATTGATACGATATAGTTTGGAGGCTGGGAACACCTCAATAAAACCACACACATGATAGGAGCCTGGCATTAGATCTGTGACCGAACAGGGCCCCAACCGAGACAAGGATTCTTCATCAATAGAGATAGGATCCCACAGGCGCCACATCCATCCTTTCATCCTCCTGCGCCCATTGCTTGCAGCTCCGTTCTTCCTCGTGAAGCCAAGGCGGTTGCGTGCCTCACGCGTCCCGCTCCTTCGCCGCCTGCTCACGCTCAAGCTTGGCCCGCAACTCCGCCTCATAAGCCATCGGATCAGCACTAGTATCCCTAGATCCATCGAGCCCACGCTTGCTGTTGGTATTGCTGTCGCCAGGGGAGTCGCGGGACTGATCCATGGCCACAACGACAATGAAGGATCAGAGGAGGGGTGGGGGAGGAGGAAGGAAGACACTCGATCGAGGAGCGAAAAAAAGGATCTGGCCTTGCGAATATAAACGACAGAAGCTGGAAACCCGAAAGAGAGGTCCGAGCAAACCTTGAGCAGCCATAAGTACCCACAAAACGGATGGGCAACCCTTGAGCAGCCATAAGTACCAACAAAACGGATGGGCAGGCTGAACAGGGGCATGGGCCTCTAGAGAAGGCCGCAACCAGCCCAAGCCCAACAGGGAGAGGGGGGAAGTTAGAAGAGAACAGAACAGGTGGAGAGGGCACCGGGCCCCTACCTGGCCCACAATGCTCCTCGCTGAGCCCAGACCAGCACACACCTCGGATTCCCCTAGGGTAACCACGACAGCCTCAGCCGCCATCGCGAGTGACGGCGTCGCCGCCCCCATTTCTGAAACCGGCGGAGCTTCAGACACCATAGAGAAGGAAGAAGAGGGAGATGGCGGAGATCGAGAGGAGCCGAGACAAAACACCGAGGAGGCTAGGAGAAGGAGCAAGGGAAAGCAGCTTACGCGCGATGAGAACGAGGTGGCACCTCTGCCCAGCCCGACACCCGACGCGCCGCCAACCCTCCCCCCTCCAAGGAGCAAACTTGCGGATCCGCCCCCAGGCCACCCAAAAAGAGCACGCACCGCCCCCGCAGGCGGAACTGGAGACAGATGAGGTTTCATCCGGATCTAACGCCCAAAAATTGTTGGAAATTGGACCAAGAGGGGAACACGAGGGTGACCGGAAGAGCCGAGATGGGGAAGGAAGAGAAGTAGGGGGAGGGGAGAGGGGAGAGGAGCACAAGCCACGGGGAGTAGAGCAGGGAGCCACGGCCATCGACGAGCAAAGAGGGGCCGAGGGCGAGAAGGTCACCGGAGGAGGGAGGAGAGGAGGGGGGAGCCATCTCCGGTTCCCTTGCCCCATGTTCAAAGAAACAGCTACTATTCAGGGATTTGCCTCCCCACTGTAGAATCTCCAACTGTAGTACGATCACGATTCCTGATGTCCACACTACTCCATATACATGAGTGCTCAACTGTAGCCTTGTATTGCATTGTCCAGATCATTCTTGATTTTCCCCCACCTTTTGTGAACTCACATCCAAGGCTAAAACATGGCTTGTGCCCTTGCGTAGTGAACTAACCTTGCTCAAGAACGCTTTGATTCCTATTGCTCCTGTTCCTGCAAGCATATGGTGATATTTCCTGAAGAATGACCTGTGGCACCAAGTACTTGACAAAACTACGGTCATTAGACTAGTCTCTTTCCTAGTCAAATATGAAACTATATGAGTTTCCTGTTAGACTAAATTTTGATTCTTCCTTTGCTTGTTTCTATTCCCTCTGACCATGAATATAGATAACTTTGGTCATTGACATGATCTTCAAAACACTTTGACCATTAATTTCTGTTTCAAAACTACATTGCTTCAGACAAAAACCAAAGTATGACTGACAGTATGTTTCATGAGGGATCTAGCTGTGTCAATTCAATATTTTGTTGATGTTTGTAATTGTCTCATTGTTGACAATCAAACCTAAATTTGTTTGGACTGGGACAGATTCTTGAACTGCTTATATTTGGATCGGGGCGTGCATGTTAAAATTTTCAGATATGGATATTAGTCAATGTCTTGGTTTATTAGCAATTCAGCATCAGTCAAATGTAAATTGTTGTAATAAAATGAAATCAACTCGTGGCCTAAACAACCCTTTGACATCAAATCCAGTGCGGAGGAATTTATTTATAGTTTGCAGACGTTTTCTGTTGTCAAACTTTCTCACGGTTTTAGTAGCATCATCATGCCTGTGTGTAAAATGGAGTACTAATAACGCACGACAATCTTGTGCAGGGAGATTGTAACTTCATTTGTTGTTGACTTCAGGGCTTTCCTAAAGATGCTGGTTGGCAAGATCTGGAGCAAAGAGGAAAAGAGTATCCCGAGATGGTCCCGTTGTAAGGAATCAACCACTCTATTGACCTCACAGAATAATAATAGTAATAATAAAAGGATCATAGCTGCTGAAGATTCAAGATGTCATGTGTAATTTTTGGTGTGAGCGATGCGATGTTATTGTTTTCGTGGAAACATCAGCTCTTGCAATGTTGTTGTACCCTTGCCAATACATTAACAAACCAGGTATATAATTTCTGAGATAGCCATAGCCATGTCTTGTAAAAAGAGGACAATAAAATGAAGAAAATAAATGTCACCTGCTTAGCTTGTTGGAACACTGGATGGTCATATGCATTTACATTTACAATCATGCGCTGTTTAGGCACATCGGCTCTGGCTTTCATATTTCCTCTGGAAGATTAATATCATACTTTCCTAATTCAAAAAAGACTTCAGTATTAGTACTCGTATTTTATATGTGAACATAGAATTACTACCTCCATACCAATACCAAAATATAAGACGTTTTTGTAGGCTAACCTGCAAAAACGTCTTATATTTTGATATAGAGGTAATATCAAGTTATTTGTTCTTTTGTGGGGAAAAGGTCTTAGTAAGTTGATGTTGTTGGCGTAGCAGTCTTGTCACCAAAGATATACCACTGGATCTGTATTAGAAAAATGTTTCTGATGGTATGACTTTGAAGTCACATTATTCTGTATGTTATCGGTCTAATTCATGGTCAAAGTTAAATCTCATAAAGGGTGACCTCATAAACTTGAACCGCAGGAGTATTGAATGAGGCAGGGAATGTAACTGAAAATGTAGGCATCGAATGGGTAACTGGTGGCAATGTTGTATCTCTGTCAATAACTCGCGCAATAAACATCTTCTGCCTTCTGGCGGCAGAATTGACTCCACGATTTTTGCCATCTTCAGTGCGATTGCAATACGTTCAATACGAGCAACCAGCAGGAGCAGATGGATTTTCAAAGTTCAAGGACCCCCCATAGCCGGGGTGGCATTTTGTAAAACTGCCATGGCAATTTTTTAAATCTGCAGGGAGGTTAACATTTCCCAAGTTCAAACGAGTCCAGCAACCGAACGAGGTGGCTTCGTGATCCAGGTGAGCGCTGCAGCCGAGAGTCCAAACCGAGCCCAACCCAAAACTAGCGTCCAAAACCAAGGTGCGCCGCAGCGGAAACCTTTTTGTTTGTACGCGTGCCTGCCTTGCCAAAAACAAAAGGGAAATTTCTCCGCAGCCGCACCATCCCCGGACTGGATAAAGAGAAACCCCCACGCGCTGCGCACGGCCGCGACGCGGAAACCAAGCCAGAAACCCACCGATTTTGGCGATTTGTTCGTCACGCCGGCCATTCCCGCTCGCCGCCACGGCACGCAATGACGGCTAGCCACCCTCGGTGAGAAGCCATTAAAGCAGCCGCGCCTCGGTTCCGACGCCGCCGCCTTCGATTCGCTCCGAGAAAAACCCTCTTCCGATCGCCGGGGGCGCCATGCGCACCAAGCACTTGATACCCAACCACGCCGCGGGTCTCACCTACGCGAACGCCTACGCCGCCGCCCGCGAGGGCCACGGCGGCGGCGGCGTCGACCCGTTCGAGGCCTTCCCCGACGCGGTGCTCGGGCTGATCGTCTCCAAGCTGCCCTTCAGGTCCGCCGTCGCCTCCTCCGCCATCTCGCGCCGGTGGCGCGGCGCGGTGGCCGCCGCGCCTGCGCTCGACCTCGACTTCGCCGCGGCGTTCCCCGCCGCGCCACGCCGCAGGGCGGCATTCGCGGCCGCTGCCGCCGCCGCGCTCGCGGGCTCGCGGCGCCACCCGCTCCGCCGCCTCCGCCTCGCGCTCGACGGCTTCTTCGACCAGGCCTTCGCCGCCTCCGCGGCCAGCCACGTCGCCTCCTGGCTCGCCGCCGCCGCGGCGCGAGGCGTCGAGCAGCTGGAGCTCCACCTCCCTCGCTCCCGCCTCGCCGTGATCCCTCCCTCCCTCCTCGCCTGCACCGACCTCACGTCGCTCACCCTTCGCCTCGACCACAACGCCCTTCCGCTCCCTTCCCTCTGCCTCCTCACCCGCCTCTCCCGCCTTCACCTCGCCTCCGTCTCGCTCGTTGGCTGCGGTGACTTCTTCGAAGACCTCTGCTCTCACTGCACGCAGCTCAGCTGCCTGATCCTTGAACAGTGCCACATCGGTGCACTCCGACTAGCCGGCGCGCCGCAGCTTTGCTCGCTTGACATCGCCAGCTGTTCGTGGACGGAGCAGTCGTCTATTGCCATTGCTGAGATGCCGGCGTTGCGCACTCTCCGCTACTCGGGTGCGATGGCGAACAGACACATGATTAATGGCGCCGATTCCTTGGACGAAGTCGTTCTGGCCATTGAGAAGCCACAAGCTCTCCTGGAGCCTAATCTCAGAGAGCTGCTTGCGTTGGTTGGAAACGTACGGAGCCTAGTGCTTTCGCCCTGGTGTATTGAGGTATATTATACGGAACTTCTTCATCTTGTGAAGTAATAATTGATGTTTCAGAAATCTAACCACCTAGATGTGGATAATTTGAAGCAATTTTCTCATCCTGAGGAATGGTCCAAGGTGCGGCTGGACAAGGTGAGACGGTTGGCATGCATAATAGAGAGGAGGGAAGAAGGTGCTTTGTCCATTGCACCATTGCTTACGAGTTGCCCCAATGTGCAAGAACTTTCTGTGTCGGTCGTGGTGAGATAGACATACTTGAGTTCTTCTATCTACTATTGTGGTAACTCTGCTCCAATGAAATGATGTTAATGCCGATGATGTGATTGCTTGTTGTTGCAGCCATCGCAGTCCAAGCGGAGACGGTGCAGCGACAGTGAAGTTCAGTATCGTGTTATTGGTGGTAGAGGGATGATCGTCAGGAATCTCAGGGAAATTAGGATGGAGTACATTGATGAGAGCAAGAGTGGATTGGATCTGGTTAAGCTTCTGCTCAAGAAGGCGCAGATGTTGGAGATGATGACAATTGTGCCTTCCATGGATGGCCTTGAGCAGGCCAAGTTCAGGCGCAGGGTGTTGAAGTTCAGAAAAGCTTCCAAGAATGTCAACATCCAGTTTTGTGCCACTGCATGATGGAATGGTTGTGTGTTAATCACTGAAGTCTCATGTTCAGTCCGTGAAGGAAGAAGTGGCTTGCCTGTCATCAGTGAGGCTCTTCCAGTCCTGTTCCGGGCACTTCTAAGATCTAACTTGTCACAGAGCTGCTAACTGCCATTTTAATTCATTGCCGAGCTTCATTTAGTTTTGAAAATTTCCTAATTCTTGGTGAACTTTAGCTTTGTTGGATACAGATACCTAGTTTTATGACAAGTTAATTTGAAGAAGCGTGTTGCTATGGATCTGTTTGGCCTAGATGAATATTATCTGATGGTATAATTTGTAAGGCACCTCGAACCAGCATTGTGTTCTTGGTGCCTTATTAACCCAGTTGTTTGAACTTGTTTATTTGCATGCATATGTCTTATGTTTGATGCACAGGAGGATTCATATTGTCACTATTTGCATTCATATTGTCAGTATTTGCATTCATATTCTCTTGGTGACTAGCCCAATTATATGCTAGATGCACAGGAGGATGTGGAGAAGTTTGATGGCATCCAGCTGTTGACCTTTGAAGGCATTAGCTGCTGTCATATCAGCTCCAGAAATGTCGTTATACTCTAGAAATGTCTGGTTGTGATATCTGGCTTGGCTAACTTTTATCTGAAATTTATCCACGCCAAAAAAAAAAACTTGATATCTGGAATTCATTTCTTCAATATTTTTTCCTTCACAAGTTATGGTGCAAATGGTATGATTTTTCATTTTTCGTCAACAGGCCACGCGAGAATCAGCCAGAACCGATTTATACATAACTGATATCCAACAGGTTGAAAGGTTTACTTCAAGAAATATATAACAAAAAAAAAAATCTTCAACCCAGAGTTCCGGGACGAATGACTATATACCTGGCCATCCGTCGGGCTGGCTGGGCTTCAGGCAGGCCTAACAAAGCCCGAAGTAGAAAGCCTAGGTCCGGTCCCGGCCTGGCCTGGCCGTCAGGGCTAGAATTTAGGCCCAAGCCTGGCCCATCACTGGAAAAGCCTGCTGGGCCTTGGGCTGGGCCTCTTCCCTAAATCACAAATATGGCAGGCCCTGGCCCGACCTTCGGGCTAAAAACCTAGGACCAGGCCCGGACTACGGGCAAGATCGGGCTGGGTCAGGTCAGACTTTTTCGGGCCAGGTTGGGTCGGGCCAGGTATAACTACTGATAATATGTTAGTGACTTATGTATGTTTCCATGCGATAAATAAGGCAAATCCTAAACGGCGCCCGTTGCGCCCGTTTCTTCGCTGCACGCAAACGGGCGCATACCCCCCGAGCCAGGCTGGGCCGGCCCATTTCTTCTTTTTCTGTTAAAACTGCATCAATCAAAAGAGAGTGATTGCGGTGGTTCGAACTTCAGCGCAGTTACCACTAGGCAAAGAACCACTTGCTGTTTGCAAACCTATTTTCCCTCTTTTATTTCTCCAGGTCGCGAGATTTTTTCTCCTTTTTCCTGCTCTTTTTTCATTTTTCATTTCTTTATTCCTTTTTCTTTTTTTCGTAAATGTGCAATTTTTTTATTCAAATTTGATGAACCTCTATCAAATCGATGAACTTTTTTTAAAATTCGATGAAAATTTTCAAATTCCATGATTTTTTTAAAACGTGAACAATAATTGAGAACCTGAACAAAAAATTATATACGATGAGCGATTTTCAAATATACACCGAACATTTTTTCGGTGTACGATGAACAATTTTTAACTACACAGCGAACATTTTTGTGATATACATTTAAATAATATAAAACATATTTATACATTCTTTTGATATAAGATGAACAACTTTTATACATTGAACATTTTTGTAATATAATCTGAACAATTTTTATATTATGACCATGAGGTCATGGGTTCAAGTCCTGGAAACAGCCTCTTACAGAAATGTAGGGAAAGGCTGCGTACTATAGACCCAAAGTGGTCGGACCCTTCCCTGGACCCTGCGCAAGCGGGAGCTACATGCACCAGGTTGCCCTTTTTTTAATCTGAACAATTTTTAACTACACATTAAACAATTTTGTGATATGCGCTGAAAAACCATTTAAATACCCATTGAACATTATTCTTATGTACACTGAACAATTTAAAATTGTGAACAAAATTTTAAAAAGTGAATAAATTTGGAAAACTATGAACACATTTTGAAATCACGAACAAAAAACAAAAAATACATTTTTTTTAAAATTCCATGAACTTTTTTCAATTTCAATGAACTTTTTGTAGATTTCGATGAACCTTTCCTAGATTTTGATGAACTTTTTTCAAATTCGATGATTTGTTTTCAAATTTGATGAACTTTTTCCAACTTTGATGAACTTTTTTTTTCAAATTCGATGAACATTTTTCAAATTCGTTGAACTTTTTTTAAATTCGAACAAACTTTTTTGATATTAATGAACTATTTTTCAAAATTGATGAACTTTTTTGAAATTTGTGAACTTTTTTAAAATCAATGATTTTTTTAGTTCGTTAACCTTTTCAATTCGTGATTATTTTGAAATCTGTGAATTTTCAAATTTCATCCCGAAAAAATTACGTTTCCCAAAATCTGTGCGCAATAAATAGCGCGACTTTAATTATTCTTAACTCATGCGCGCCGAAAATATCCATGATCGATTGGTTGCACTAGTGGTTAGCTGACTGGAACATCTACTGGAGGTCGTGTGGTCGAATCCTCATGGGAGCAACACTTTTTAGGGGATTTATTTGTGGTATAGATGGGTTTTTTTTGTGGTGTAGAAGGCGCGTCTTGGGCCGGCCCAGCAGGTGCGGCTGTGAGCGCTAGCTTCCTGAACCGGCGCTTGAGGCGCCGGTTAGGAGCTCCCGATAAATAATCACAGGGAAGGAAATAGTGGGGGTGTGTGTGCAGTAAAGTTGGATATGTACAAATGATTCAAAAAAAAAGTTGGATATGTACAAGGCAAGACCATGCTGAATGGTTCTTTTACGAGACATTTTTAATTGGTAACCATATTGACTCGACTTTTTTAGAGGTAATATCACCGAGAGTCATAGAATTTGCGCAATTGTGTTAGTACCCGGTCCATGTGTGTGACTACAGTCGATAAGAAAGAAGACGGAGAGAAGACGTAGAATTTTCTTCCGTACCCCCTTTCTCTTATTTGAGTCATAGGACCACTGATACATTTTCAACGTATCTATAATTTTTGATTGTTCCATGCTATTATATTACCTCTTTTGGATGTTTATGGGCTTTATTTTACACATTTATACCAATTTTGGGACTAACCTACTAATCGGAGGCCTAGACCATATTGCTGTTTTTTTGCCTATTTAAGTATTTCGAAGAAAAGGAATATCAAATGGAGTCCAAACGGAATGAAACCTTCGGGAGCGTGATTTTTGAACGAACGTGATCCAAAGGACTTAGAGTGCAAGTCAAGAAGCAGCCGAGGCTCCCACGAGATAGGAGGGCGCCCCCCCCTCTAGGGCGCGCCCCCTGTCTTGTAGGCCCCTCGGGCGGCCACTGACGTACTTCTTCCTCCTATATATACCTACGTACCCCGAAAACATCCAGGAGGCGGACGAAACACAATTTCCACCACCGTAACCTTCTGTATCCGCGAGATCCCATCTTGGAGCCTTCATCGGTGTTCTGCCGGAGGGGGAATCGACCACGGAGGGCTTCTACATCAACATCCTTGCCCCTCCGATGAGTTGTGAGTAGTTTACCACAGACCTACGGGTCCATATTTATTAGCTAGATGGCTTCTTCTTTCTTTTTGGATCTCAATACAATGTTCTCCCCCTCTCTTGTGGAGATCTATTCGATGTAAACTCTTTTTGCGGTGTGTTTGTCGAGATCCGATGAATTGTGGGTTTATGATCAAGTTTATCTATGAATAATATTTGAATCTTCTCTGAATCCTTTTATGTATGATTGAGTTATCTTTGCAAGTCTCTTCGAATTATCAGTTTGGTTTGGCCTACTGGATTGATCTTTCTTGCCATGGGAGAAGTGCTTAGCTTTGGGTTCAATCTTGCGGTGTCCTTACCCAGTGACAAAAATGGTTGCAAGGCACTTATTGTATTGTTGCCATCGAGGATAACAAGATGGGGTTTATATCATATTGCTTGAGTTTATCCCTCTACATCATGTCATCGTGCTTAATGCGTTACTCTGTTCTTATGAACTTAATACTCTAGATGCAGGCAGGAGTCGGTCGATGTGTGGAGTAATAGTAGTAGATGCACGCAGGAGTAGGTCTACTTGTTATGGACGTGATGCCCGTGATGCCTATATACATGATCATGCCTAGATAATCTCATAACTATTCGCTTTTCTATCAATTGCTCGACAGTAATTTGTTCACCCACCGTAATACTTATGCTATCTTGAGAGAAGCCACTAGTGAAACCTATGGCCCCCGGGTCTATCTCTTATCATATTTGCTTTCAATCTACTTTTATTTGCATCTTTACTTTTTTCATCTATCTTATAAAATACCAAAAATATATTTATCTTATCTTACTATCTTTATTAGATCTCACTTTCGCAAGTGGCCGTGAAGGGATTGACAACTCCTTTATTGCGTTGGTTGCGAGTTCTCAGTTTGTTTGTGTAGGTGCGTGGGACTTTTGAGGAGCCTCCTACTGGATTGATACCTTGGTTTTCAAAAACTGAGGGAAATACTTACGCTACTATTGCTGCATCACCCTCTCCTCTTTGAGGAAAACCAACGCAAGCTCAAGACGTAGCAAGAAGGATTTCTGGCGCCGTTGCCGGGGAGGTCTTCGCTCAAGTCAAGACATACCAAGTACCCATCACAAACCCATCTCCCTCGCATTTATATTATTTGCCATTTGCCTCTCGTTTTCCTCTCCCCCACTTCACCCTTACCGTTTTATTCGCCCTCTCTTTCCCAATCTCCTCCTCTCTTTTCGCTTGCCTTTTTCTATTTGCTTGTGTGTTGGATTACTTGTTGCCATGGCGCAAGATAATACCAAATTGTGTGATTTCTCAAATAC